AGCACTGCGCTCCTCCCGACTCCGCTCCCGACGGCGCCCCGACCAGCGACGCTTTCCCCGTTCCCCCGCCCCCGCGCCCGGCCCGACGCCCCCTCCGGTGCCCCTGCCCGCCTCCCCATCCGTGCGTGGACCCACCGCCCTCCCCTGAGGTTCCTTGCTCCTCCCATGCGACGACGGCCGTTGGCGGCTCTGGCACCGCGGGCTGCTCCAGCGCCAGCCCGCGCGGAGGGGCGTTTCTGCCTTCGCGGCGCGAGCTCCTGCTACTCGCCAAGAACACCTGGGCCGCGTTCCCAGACGCCCGCGCCCAATGGAACTCGTTCACTTCGGATTGCAGGAAGTGGTGCAGGGGGCGGGCGCGCCCTGAAGGTGCCCCCTCGCGCGTCCTGCTCGATTTCCCCAGCTCGAATGGGGGCCCTTGTGCCCCGGGCCAGGAGGGCGCAGCGGACGGGCGCTGAACCCTGGGCGGCCCGGCATAGGTTCTGCGCTCTGGCGGTGGCACCCGCCATCCCAGCCAGCACGACGCCGCCTTCTCAGTTTGTTTCCTCCGCCATGCGCCGTCGCCCCTGGACGCGCGGCCCCCCGTACTCGCGCCGATTGGGCGCCCCTAGACCGGCCACGCGCTGCCCGCCACGCCAGGACAGCGCGCGGCCCCTTGCGGCCTCCAACCGCAGTTTTGACGCAGGTCACTGCACCGGTCAGGTGCCCCTAGACCGGCCGCCGCAAGGGCCGCCTGCCGGGCAGCTGCAGCGCTGGCGCTGGGCCGCGTGCATGGCGCCGACGCCCCGCCTGTCGGGGCCTCCCCGCAGGCGGGGCGCTCTTCCTCCTTGCCCCACCCCCCTCTCTGCGCCTGTTCCCTCCTTCCCTCCGCGCGCCGCCGCGGCGCCAGCGCTGCGGCCGCGGCTGGCAGCGACCTCCTTGGAGTTGGCGTTCCTGGGCCACGCGCTTCCCCGCAACCCTCGCACTGCGCCCAGCGGGCATGTCATTTCGCTGGCGGCAGTCTCAAACCTAGATTGCCTTTGGTCACTCGCAGCACCTCGCCGACCCTCCTCGGCGGCTCCGCTGCGTCATCTGTACTTGCAGCGCCTAGTCGGCCCACGCCTGGACAGCTTTACTGCGCGCGCCCATGCGTTCCGCACACAGGGCCACGTCGTCGCCCGGCGCCCCGGCCCGGCAGTTGCCGCGGCCCCCGCTGCCGAGGCCGGCCGCGCCAGCGCGCTCAGATCGGAAGCCCCCCGCCTCTGAGTGCCCCCGAGGCCGCCCTGTCTGTCCCTGCCCCCCACCCTGCGCGCCGTGCGATTCGCTCCTCGGCGCCACCGCTCAGCTTTTCCGTTGGCGCGGCAGTTCTGCCATGCCGCCGATGGAAAAAGTGTGCGAAGCCCGCTCCCATTCCCACCCCTGCGGCCACTGGGCCCGACCCTTGCCCCCCTTCCTGGAGCGCCGTCCTGGATTGCGCGGCGCGCGGGCTTGGAATGGCGCGGGATCGTCGTGGTAGGAAGGCCCTTCAAAAGCAGATCGATATTCTCGATAAGCTGTGGGCTAACCAGTCGGTGGTGGAGTTGGCGCCCTTGAGGCAAGTCGCCCTCCCCATCTGGGGTGCCCGGGGCAGGAAGCCGAAGCTGGCGCGGCACTCCATTCCTTTTCGGGGTAGGACGCGCAACACTCGTCAGTCCGATGTTTGTTGCTCTGAGGTGGCTTGAAGACCCTTCCGCTTTTCCTTTTTCCCATTTTTGGAGCAGTCAATTTGATCTGGTAGATGCGATTGCCAAGTCGCTCGTCGACCCGCCAGCTCAGGTAGAGCAGCGCCTTCGGCCATTTCAGGGCACCTCCCCGATTTACCAGGATATCGCGGGTTATCTTCAGGGCGGGGCGAGCAATTCCCAGGGCCGGCTGGACCTGTCCCTCGGGGCGGATTTGATGCAGAGAGTTCCGGATATCCTTGGGGCGTTTTCAGGTGCTGCTCAGAACGAAGCGGCCAAGTCCTGGCGGTCTTGGTTGCTCGACGGCATCGACTGCGGCGACAGACAGGTTCATTGGTGGACCAGGTCCCCGACAGCGTGGACCCTTTCGACTACTCTCTCGGCCTCCGGACAGGTTCTCTCGGACCCCGAGAGCTCTCAGCCGCCGAAGTTGCTAGGTATCCTGGGATCTGGGAAGCCTGGCGCGCGTTCGATGAAGGAAATGCCGAACTCCGTTTCCGCCCTGCTCAGAGTTCTTGGACCCTGATGCGATCAGATCTGTGTCCGGTGTATACGCTGCAGGGACGGCGACTGGCACCGACGGAATTCATATGCGCCATTGTGCGAGTCTCAGTGATTCTTCCCTGACGGTTATCATGTCACTCGCGTGTGTGATGGAGTCGACGTCCCTGCTGCCCTCCCAGATTAGGATCACCACCATCAGCCTTCTCGATGAGGAGAAGAGCGGCTGGAGGCCAATCGGATTGTTCTCGTCTGCGCACAGGCCGTTGGGCCGAATGCGCAGGCCCCGCGCATTGCTTTGGGCGGCTGAACACAGCCGACAGTGCATCG